ATGGTCTCTGAGGCCCATTCTCAAAATGGGGGTTTAATTACAGCTTGCACGGGGGCGTCATTCTTTCATGAAATTCATTAAATATCAGTCCGACGGACGCCTGCTAATTGGCGAAGTAGTGGCGACTCCGCGTAAGGCCTGTCACCGGGCCACTCTCACCAATTAGCGGGATATTAAAGGAAATTAAACTCAATACTCCACAATTTACGCTTCTATTTCGTATGCGAACGTCTCTAAGTTCATTTTAAAACGCTAAAGGGGTCAAATTTCATAAATGTGAATTGCGTTCGTAATGTCATTTCATTTACTTCAAAGCAAGTGAATTTGCTTCCCTGAATAAGAATATTGTCACGATGATTTCATTACGTATTTCTCATAATGACATTGCTATATAATACTCAATTTGAGATGGTTCCACGGTGTTGAATTTCTGGTCTGTGATCAGGGAACAAGCGAGTTCGTAATTGAGTAAATGCAACCTTGAACTCTAAGGACGGGCATAAGCCACCTTTTTTAAATCTATCCTTATAAAAAGGGTAAATTGGGCAGAATAGATTTACGGGTGAATGCTATTAATATTGATAAAAGTCACGCAACAACAGCATTTCTTTAGTTGCCTACTGTGATACGAACAGACAAACATCTGTAACTGGACTATATATACTTCGGAACATTCAATTCTAAACCACAGATTAAATATTGTTTAAATAGCCCTAAGTCAATGTTCGTTTTTTAAATTGGATCAACTGTAGAGCACGTACTGTTAACATAATGTCTATACTGTGTTATTATATACTGTGATATATACCTTACTCACTTATACATAGTTGGTACTCGTATCATATTTTGTCGAAAGAGGGGTTAAGATCGTCGGTCATATATTAAAATATATTCATCAAAATGTTCCTTGAAATCAGGGTTGCCAGATGCGAATTTCGATTTTTACATAAACATTAAATTTTTTTTTTCCATATCAATACGATTTCTAGGACTTTCACCCAATTACAAACTTGTATCTTTTTTACACTACATTTTGAAAACGTTACTGAAACGTTACGTTAATTACGTTTTAAAAGAAACAGCTATTTCTTCCAGTTCTACATTTAGCTTTTCTTACCCTCTCTCTCTCCTCTCCTTCTCCTAAATGTCCTATATCACCCTCTGTTTTGTTATGAAGATAACAAAACATATATTTTATTGTATTTATATACGTCTACATAGTTTACAAATACTGACAAGTCCAAAAAATACACACTTTTACAAACAGAAAAAAAATACCTAATCTGGCAAGTGGCAACGCTTTGAAATTATACAAAGCTGGTTTGAACAACCGAGCTGACAGGATATCGCGTGTAATGTAAGTGTCTGTTAAAAAGGATGTTGTGGTGACACGAGAATGTTGCTTTCCAAAAAGTTGAAGCAATATTTCGAATATTTCTTTAAGTTCTATTGTGATATCTATTTTTATTATTATATTTATTTAGACCAAAATAACTGGTTTTGTCACACTTTAAGTCGATTTTTTTTGTGCGACACAATCTTTAATTACCATCATTAATTTCTATTGAGACGGACTTTTTCTTCTTGCCTTTTCCTCGTTTGGAGCCGGCATAATGTTTTTTATTCCATTCATTTCTATTTGCAATCATCTCGTTAACTCCTTTTCTGACCCTCTCATCTATCACAGTCCATTCATCTCTTACTGGATCTTCTTTTACACAATCAGATTACAACAAATTATATTTAATAATAAAACCACTTGTAAGTGTATTACGTGCAGATTGTAGCGGACTATAGTTAATATAATGAAACCGTTCATTTCGTGGCACAGCACTAGTGAGATATCGACTCGTATCGATCTGGCAGTTTGGCAACGGTTACAGTCGGTGCCATGTCGGCCGTATACGTCATCGATAATGGTGGGTACATACTACAGCATAACAACGAAAAGAGCAAAGATACAATGAACTTTTTTTAATGGGTGTAAACGGAACCCCGTCTACGCTATCGGTGTAAGGGACAATAGGTGAGGATGAAATCAAAATGCTCATCGTGACAACGTTAACAAGAATTATCCACACGGATTTCCAAAAAGAACCGCGTGTAGATCGATCTGATAGAGTATATCTAACAATCACTAACAATCTCTTTCCTTACCAAAAAAAGAAAGTATTTGTCTGTTCCATTTCTTACTATCCAAATTCGAATTCATTCGGTTTGTATGTCTCGTTAGTGAAGCATTCTCTAAGACAAGAGTCTCCTTGTCTTAAGATTTGCAGGTATCTAATAAAAAAGGCGTAACTTTTTGCTTGATGCAATGTTACATAAATTCGCTTACTGCAAAATCAAGCATCAAAGCGTTGAGTATCATACTCAAAGACGGTACATTGAGATCTTGAAGAAAATCTTAAATCTTGTTTTACAGCCACAGCTCTTGCACAGTATATATTTAAAATAGTTATAGTACTATTTCATATTTTCATTAATATTCATGACCTCCATGATGCAAAGGTAAGCAGTCACTTTGAGTAAAATAGGTCCTGGATTCCATTCTCGGTTTGGTTAGTTTAGAAAACGAATTTTTCTAAAATCTCAGGTTTTGGTATTTTGGATTGTGTGCCCAGATGTTCGTTGGTTCCTTATAACACAGGATGTCTTGGCTTGAGGATCAGTTACATTGGTGCGGTCGTGTGTCGTTTATTATTAGTTCAAGTGCTAGCAGTTCTAGTGCATTTTCACCTTTCAATTCTCAAGTAGTCGGTTTTGTCTATTGTTTTTTCCTTATAAAAAGATTGGTAATTCGATATAATGAATAATATATACATTAGTTTAGTGTGGTTTCAAAGTAATTTTCTCTCGTAAATGCTCAGGCTGTAGAATGAGCTTCCTACTGAAATTTTCCCTAGAGACTACAACATGGAGTTCTTCAAAAAGGGTATATTAATTTTTTAAGGCTCACGAGACAGTTCTAGTGTTGCAGGCGTCCATAGGCTTCAGTAACCGTTTACCATCAGACGGGCTGTATGCTTATACCCAACTTCGTGGTATAAAAAAAAAGTTTGGCTGCCATTGTTTTATAATCTTTGTGGACCCGAACAAATCATGTGTAAAAGTTCCGACAAATTTCCTTTCGGACGTAATATCAACACAGAAACCCTTTGAGGTTTCCGAGTATAGTTTCAATCGTAAACTACTGAGGTCCGGCCTATGGCCTCCCGGTCGTAACATATTGTTTTCACGTATTGTATTTCGTTATATTTTGTATTAGTATTAGTATTGCATATTAGTTTATGTTATGCTTTATAAGAAATATGTTAATGTAAATAGCCACAATTCCTGTTACAGTAATATAAAATGTAGCTATTAAGTAATGCAGAATACATAATCAAGTCTTTTTTTTATTTAAAATCATAGTGATTAATTTCAATGGGTATTGTCACGATGGACTAACTGACCTGCTTTCATCGTCACCTATCATCTTTCTCTGATGCCCTGCAAGCGTATACCGATAGGGCAGACGGGGTTACCATTCCATTATCATTATTTAAAAAAAAAACACAGTTTGGCTTTAGTGATGTTTTAAGAGAGACGCTTCTGCCAATCTCTCGACCAATAAGTTACCTTAGTTGTCTCTTACGACATCCACAGGAAAGAAAGGGGTAGCCTATTCTATTTTGGACGACACACACATGATCAAAGATATATCTGGGAGCACGTAAGTAATCGTGCCATTTTAAGGGTCAAAACAACGACTGGCAAACCCTATTGGCAAATACCAAAAATAAATGGCCCCCAGTCCTCGGAATGCAGGTGGCTTGAGACTATTTCTTATGGCAGTCTATGGGAGAAACCTCAGTAGTGGTTAGTTGACGGCTAATATGAATAAATGCGTGTAGAGGACTTTATAATAGTAACCTTCAGCACCGTGTAATATGAAGTTACGTTCAGTGAAATTGCTCGTCATGTATGCACTTAGTGAAGCAGATTCTGTATACAGGCCGTTTTTCGCTCTCCCAATAATAATCTAATTCGCTCAGAACGTAAGGTTCTCTTGCCTACTCGGTGCGCGTTGATGGTTATAAATATATTGGGACATCTTCATAGAATTTCCGTCCTTTGATATGTAAGTTTTATACGTTTATCACGTACATTGTATGGAGCGTTCAGTTTGTAAAGGTCTGTCGTTGAAGGGCAAGGGTGGGACCTTAAATTATATTTCATGGATATAGATTGGCTATGTAAGAGAAAGAAAACATAATAACGTATATATTAGAGCGAAATAGAAAAGTATTTATTTATTTATTTAACTCTTTATTGCATCATAAATACAGTAACATAAATACAGATTGAAATATACACATAAAGGTACAAAAGGCGGCCTAGTCGCTAGGGCAATCTCTAACAGACAACCTTTGGTTAAAGGAGAAAAGATAGAAGTGGGTAGGTGGCGAAAGAGTAATGATTTTTCGTGCATAAAATACAAAAACCTGTAATGCACAAAGTAGCATATTTTGCTACACAATATAAGCTCGAAGCTCATTTGGCGGACAAAATAAGTTCTAATTATTTTTACTCTTTCAAGTGGAATTTAAATAAGGTTTTAAAATAAGAATGGGTTCAGCTTTATTGGTAGAACACTTAGATTTCACAGTTAGATGGCATACCTCGGACACTTCATACAAAAACGCCACGATCCCTGCTTGTCACAACTACAGAAAAAAGTAACGTTTGTACATGTGGTCATGTGTGTGTAGTACGATTAGCGCTGAAAAATAGACTGGGTGCTGACACGTATTTGAGAGGGTTTAAGTCAGATCGCAGCGAGCCGCGAACTTATACTATTCTTATGGTATAACATAATTACATTATAATGTCCTCGACTAAATTAGTTAAGACAGGATTTAATAAGCCCAAAAACTCTTATTCTGCTTTTATTAGTTGGTCCTCACCTTTTGTTTGTGTATAAGTATAACTAACGTAGTGCCTTGTATTGGCGGTAGAGGCGGTGGCGGCGTGACCGTGGCGGCGCGATGAGCGCGGCCGCGCTCCGGACGGACGGCGCGGGCGACTCAACGCCCGGCTCCGACGTCGGCGAGCGCATCACGCGCCTCTTCCCCAAGTGCCGCCCCAAAAACATGCAGCACCAACACGACAGGTATAGGTACTACTGCTACTTCTTGTGTGAGGGTGTTGTCCCCTATCGTCAAGACTTTCTAAATCATTTGAGTTATACAAGACTATGAAATTGCAAAAAGAATATATTTATCACAATTTATTTTTTATTTCCATAACAGCTCGCGTAGTTATTTATTTATTATTAAAAAAAATATTTACCGATGATCATAATCATCAATATCAAGAAACGGATCTAGTTTTTCATTTTAGCTAATCTCATTGGAGCATTGAAGCTAATGACCTGGAGATAGTCACCCCCAGTGTTGAAGTCGGGCCAAAGGAGTTCGCTCCGAGGCCTCCTTCTGAGTTTTCCTTGGAGGGCTCAGAAGACCTGCATAGTAAGTGTAGTATACACAACTTCCGATTAGGTTGAAATTAGTTTTTCGAATTCTTAGCTCACAATCAAACATTTTCCAACTGAGCTGTCTTCCCGCCCGTATAAATCATAGGCTAGGCTTTGTCATGACTCGTAATAGATTGTGAGAACGGGCCTTTTGTTCGGCATACAGCGATACGTTGAATACATCCCCTGTTGGTAATTAGGTCTTTTTATTCATAATCTTCAATCATATTGGATCATAGTTTAGGCCTGCATTTATTATTCTAGCTTGTTGCCTATAGACTAGCAGACTGCAGTACAATCTGTCTGAAATTCAACAGTGGAATCCCTATTTTACTATCATTTATTTTGAATTATGTATATTAATAACTTAGATAGATTATAGGTGGTAGAGCCACGCTGTAATACCATATGGTATTGCAGCATGAATGGGCCGGCTCGACCGGGGAAGTACCACACCCTCACAGAATACCGACGCTAAGTGGCCGCACTTTTAGTGCGACCACATTCCGTATGGTGAGTGAGGGAGTCCGGAGGCCCATCCTATACCCATCCCCTTCCTTATCCTAAAATCCTCCCCCAACTCCGTCCCCCCATCTTTCAATACCATGGCAGTGGAATTTAAAAAAAATAACGTACCCCAGGGAGGTACCAGCAGCCATGTTGCTGGAGAATCCTCCCTCGAGCAACCACGCTCGGGCTGCCCTGCGTATTCTGGGGGGGGCAAAATTCCGCTCTATGGGACCAAGGGCAAACAGAGCAAGACTTCTGCGGCATCCCCTTTGCTCAATGTGAGCCTCTGTAATATTAGGGGAATTCATTCAAACCTGAACGCTGTCCACCACCACCTAGAAACGGCGCGGCCGGCATTGCTCTTCCTCACGGAGACACAGATATCCCCTCCTAACGAAACATCATACCTGACCTACCCGGGGTATAAGCTTGAACATTGTTTTGTTTCGCGTGCCGGTGTATGTGCGTATGTCAGAGAGGATATCTGCTGTCGACGCCTTGGGACTCTTGAAGGTACGGACCTGTCCATTCTATGGCTGCGCGTAGATTGCAATGACCATCCCCGCATCTATGCGTGCCTATACAGGTCCCACAGCGGTAACACTGAAACCGACCAACTTATTGAGCACGTCCAAATGGCTACAGATTCCCTGCTTGAGCAGATTCCTTCCGCTGAAGTCGTGATTGTTGGCGACTTTAATGCCCACCATGCCGAATGGCTTGGTTCGCGTACAACCGACTATGCGGGAAGATCTGTTCATGACTTTGCTTTGGCTTATGGTCTGACACAGCTTGTTTCCTCGCCTACGCGAATCCCTGATGTGTTGGACCATTCACCTTCACTGCTGGACCTTCTGCTGACCACCCACCCAGACAACTATGTGATCTCCGTCGAAGCCCCGCTTGGATCGTCGGATCACTGTTTGGTGCGGAGCGAAGTGCCTCTTACGAGTCCGACTCCACCTCGTTCTACGGGTAGACGTCGCATTTGGCACTACAGGTCGGCAGATTGGGATGAGATGCGGATTTTTTCGCATCTTACCCATGGAGGCAGGTTTGCTTCACACTGGATGATCCCGACGCCATTGCCGATTCCATTGCTGATGTGGTGCTTCAGGGAATGGAATTATTTATTCCTAACTCTGTGGTGCCCGTCGGCGGGAAATCCCAGCCCTGGTATGGAGCCTCCTGTAGAACAGCATCTCGTCTGAAACAGGAGTGCTTCCTAACCTGGGCTAAAGGTGTGGCGTCGCGAGATCCTAACACCAGTGCTCTTAAAAAGAAGTATAACTCTGCCTCTAGGTCCTTCAAAAGAGTTATAGCCACAGCGAAGTCAGAGCATATTAGTAGAATTGGCAAGAGATTGGCTAGTTTGCCCTCTGGGACTCGAGCTTTCTGGTCTCTTGCCAAAGCTGCACAAGGGAATTTCTGTAAGTCATCTTTTCCACCTTTGCGCAGGGAGGATGACTCGTTGGCCCAGAACGCTAAAGAAAAGGCCGATCTTCTTGGATCCATCTTTGCGTCAAACTCGACATTGGATGACGGGGAGAAACCACCACCGACCATCACGTGTTGTAGGAGCTCTATGCCTGACATTAAATTCACGCATAGCTCAGTGCGTAGAGCACTTTTCTCCCTCGAAATCCATAAGTCGAGTGGGCCTGATGGTATTCCTCCAATTGTGCTTAGGACGTGCGCACCAGAGTTGGCTCCGGTTCTTACGCGTCTTTTTCGGCTTAGCTACTCATCGGGCATAGTCCCAAAGTTTTGGAAGACTGCTCTGGTGCATCCGATCCCTAAAAAGGGAGATCGCTCAGATCTAGCTAACTATAGGCCCATAGCTATCACTTCCTTATTCTCGAAGGTTATGGAATCCATCATTAACCGTCAACTGCTCCGGTACCTAGAAGAGCACCGGCTGATCTGTGATCGCCAGTACGGCTTTCGACAGGGACGTTCGGCCGGTGATCTTTTAGCTTACTTAACACACCGATGGGCAGTGGCAATTGAGAGTAAGGGAGAGGCCTTAGCAGTTAGTCTGGATATTGCGAAGGCCTTTGATCGGGTGTGGCATAGAGCGCTGCTTTCAAAGCTACCTTCATTTGGGTTGCCTGCGAGACTGTGCATTTGGGTCGCCAGTTTTCTCAAGGAACGTAGCATTAAGGTCGTAGTCGACGGTGCATGCTCTGATTTAAAACCTTTGAATGCTGGTGTCCCGCAAGGCTGTGTACTATCTCCGACTCTGTTTCTTCTGCATATCAATGATATGTTACAGATAAGTAATATTCATTGCTATGCGGACGACAGTACAGGAGATACATTATATACCGGTCATGCAAAGATCTCGCGGGCACATACCGATGAGTGCCGGAATAGACTTGTGTCTGAAATCGAAACTTCACTCCATCAAGTTTCGATCTGGGGTGAACAAAATCTTGTCCAATTTAACCCCAAAAAGACACAAGTCTGCGCGTTTACCGCAAAAAAGACGCCGTTTGTCGTATCTCCTCACTTTCAGGGCACTTCCCTCGATAAAAAGTCAAGTCTAGGAATTCTGGGCGTTGATATATCTTGCGACGTCCAGTTTTGCGGTCATCTGGAGGAGAAGGCTAAGATAGCTTCCAAAAAGTTAGGAGTGCTCAATAGGGTGAGACGATATTTCATGCCAGAACACCGCCTGAAATTATATAAAGCCCAAGTCAGGCCGCATATGGAATACTGTTCTCACCTGTGGGCAGGAGCGCCACAGTACCAACTCCTTCCGTTAGACCGCATTCAAAGTCGGGCGGCTCGAATTATCGATAGTCAACGCCTTACTGTCCGACTTGACCCATTGAAACTGCGCAGAGATGTTGCATCTCTGTGCATCTTCTACCGAATTTATCATGGGGAGTGTTCTGAGGAATTGTTCGGATTGATACCTGCTGCTGATTTTCACCACCGTACAACCCGCCACAAACTAAAGTTTCATCCCAATCATCTGGACGAGTGGCGGTCTTCCACCGTGCGTTTTTCAAGGCACTTTCTTCCACGCACAACCATTCTTTGGAATCAACTTCCAGCAGCAGTATTTCCGAACCGATACGACAACATAACCTTCAAGAAAAGAGTATATTCCTTTTTAAAAGGCCGGCAGCACACCTGCAATGCCGCTGGTGTTGTGGGTGATCATGGGCGGCGGTAGTCACTTACCATCAGGTGAGCCGCATGCTCGTTTGCCCCCTGTGTTGTAAAAAAAAAAAAAAAAACCATTTTACAAAATTACTGTGTGTCACTTTTTCTATAGCGTGATAAACTAGAACTAGATCTGAGAACACGTATTTGAAAACGACTTGATCTAATTTAAAAATCCTCAAACGTGTTTATCACTATATGACGGAGCTCGTTAATATAATATTCCTTATTTTTCATTCCAGACTGAACTCCGGGCTGGAGGGGCGTGACATCAACAATGTCAATAACGTCTCCTCCGACGAGGAGCGGAACGACAGCCAGCTGGTTATACTCAACTCTAAAGGGGGAACTTATAAACTTAGAGATTCTAGGTAAGTTAATCTTTGGATGAAAATTTCTATGGTCGCCTGCAATACCAGTGTTTATCCTTATAATATGAAGATCCTGAACAGCATAATTTATGTGATATTTAATTATTCAAGCCGGAACATCAACCTTCAAGAACTGGTTCAAAAATAAGTTAGCCCTATGTAGACGAATTTGTACAGTTTCTTGCTCATGTACTGCTAAAAAGAAGCATAGCATCGATGTTTTTATATGGGTATACATAGTGTTAGACGTCCCTTGTTTAAAATTCCCGAAACTAATGTACGGGTATTATTGTCTTTTGTATCAGAAAATGCACTAGCCATTTTGTATTTAAAATGAAAGGACTATATACATAAACGTCAATTCAGGCGAGTTATATACAAAACTTCAACCAAAATACAGTAATTTTTAATTCATACATCACAAGTTAGTCGTTTGGAATTATTTTGTTTCATTCCACTACTATTCGTGTACGTATGATTGCCAATATTTAAGAATTAACTTTTAGTAAAAGTTCTATGACCTTCCATATTATTCACAATTTCTGACTATTATTCAGTCCACGTACATGTTGTGACATGTATTTCATCCCTAAACGAGGCATCTGACAAATTAATAGGCTGCTCTTGATCGTTCGGACCCCAAACTGTGAACTTGGATTTCCGCAAAATAACACCTAATTCAGTAAATGTTGATAGTAGCTGAATTGAAAATCTACAGTTCTGATTCCAAGAATGCGTTGTATTAAGTCAAAGGAAGTAAGTGGTTAAGGGCTATATTTCGTGGAAATATATGTATGATGGAAGTTTATATTTAACAATATAAGTCCAGCGAATGACTGAATAGATGATGTAGTGAATTGAAATCAAACAAAAAATCCAATTTGATTTTTACATGGAACATTTTTTACCAGGATTATAGAAATAGCGGGAGGTCGAGAACTGTATTCGCAGAGCCGGACGAAAGCGGTTCGTAAGCTAAGGCATAATAATACGCACAAACACAACTTGAGAAATAAAGTGCGTTCACTCAATAAAGACACCGTCGACTACGCGGATAATCATAGCAATGAAGTGAGTTTTTATTTTACTTTACTGAACTTTAAAATTTCTTACAGCTATCTTATTTTTATTTTAAACTAGCGACCCGCCCCGGCTTTGAATTAGAAATTCCATTAGAATCCTCTAAAATTATCAGTGTTTCTCTACTATATTATGCATGTATTATACATATAAACCTTCCTCTTGAATCACTCTATCTATTAAAAAAAAAATCGCATCAAAATCCGTTGCGTAGTTTTAAAGAATTAAGCATACATAGGGACGGACAGACAGCGACAGCGACTTTATTTTATAATATGTAGTGAAGAAAAATACCACTCCGTCATTATTTGCAGTATAAACAGTAATATCTGTACAAATTGCATACAGTTACAAATATTTATAGCGTCCACCATTATATATATATATATATATATATATATATATATATATATATATATATATATATATATATATATATATATATATACAAATATTTTTTTATAAATAATAATAATAACAAATAAATAAATAATAACAATATATTTGATTCTAATATCATTCGATGCAAATGTTTGTTTCTGTATCATAAAACATAAAAAATTTTATAATCATTTTTCAGATACCTCTCCACAGAATAAGCAATGAACCAAAAAAGATGATATCTAGACACACATCACCTACTTACACAAATGGGGACCGAGATCCAGTCATAGAAACTAACACGATGGGCATACCTAAAAATAGTTCTCCGATACTAGATCCCCATAAAACAAATGATGTCAGCACTAAAAGTAGCCCCATTGCAGTTGTGGCTGATGGAGAAGTTGTTGTCTTTGATGACAATGATGATTGGAAAGGTAAGATTCGGTCGATGTTCATAAGAATTACATCTGATGATTTAAATTTAAGCATTTGTTAATGGCTAATTTAAGCTCTTTACCTATTTGCTTTGAAAGGGTTTACTTCAGAAGGGAATTTGTTATCAAGAAACAGCTTTTGTTTAATTAAAGCAAATAGTTTCATGGTGACACGCTTAATTTTCATGTAAATTATGCACTTGAATAATTTATCTCTATTATGTCTGTGGTTACTGCACTAAGTATTCTAATGCGTAATGAATACTGTAATCTCTTTTCTTCTTATATTGTTATCAAAACTCAGTTGATTCTTAATAATTTCAACCTGTTTGTTGTTTTGTCTTCAAATTTTTTGCTTTACTATCTTTGCACTTGCTTTGTTTACACCAATAATTTCTATTTACACCCTCTTTTTCACGTACGCTTAAATTTTATTATCCAAATTTTCTACTACATTTAAGATTTTCGAGTAATTTTCAGAGTAAAAATTTGTAAATTTCTTTAATTTTATCTTTAAAATATGTGTAAGTAACTTGATATTTTTGGATACTACTATTTCGCGTACGTTCCAAACCTTTTCCATCCTTCCCAACTAACCATTGTTATTCACAAAATCTTTTTTTCTCTTTCTTTTATTTTCAGTGATATTGAATTCTGTGTCTCTAGGTTTGAGGACTGAACCCGATGCTAGTGATGATGAAATAGATATGAGTGTAAAAAGGACTTTAGACAATATTAAAAATGGTGATAGTGATGTAATGAACAATAAAAGTGAATTAAGCTGTGATGGAGGGAGTGAGTCGACTCCCTCTAGGGAAGATGTGAGGTTAAGTGACGCCAGCCCATCTGGGGTCTGGTTGTCTGGTGATGAAGATAAGAACAGGGTTACTAGAGTGATAGGAGAACTACCGATAGCTGAATATGAGGGGTCGCCTAGAAGATATGGAATTGGAACTCAAAAAACCACTAATAGATCGCCAAGACCTGGCTTTCCTCAGGTAAATTATAAAATGTTAATATTATAAATATATATAAATATATTGATATTATAAATAGTACAATAAATTTTAGACAAATCAACTAAATGCATATATACGTATAATGAAATAGATGTTGACTCAGAATAAGTACCAAAGACATATTTAAGAAAAAAATGAAAATAAAATGCAACAACAACAAATACATATATGGTAACTATGACGACACATACAGTATAAATTATAATTAATCATAGTTATATACGCAAAATACATAAATATATTATATAATACATATATGGCGCAATGGAAAGGATTATCAAAAAAATCCAACTAAACATTCAAATAAAAATTTAAATTAAACATTCGAATAAAAAATTTCGTTTAAATTTGCGGTCATGTAATCTTTCTTATTTTTTTTTAGAGGGTAGTAACAGAGAGCAGAGACGTCACTCCTCCTTCCAGCTCGGCTGCGTTCGACTATTTATATGAATTCTCGGAGACGAGGAAGGTGCTAGAGGAATTTTTCAAATGTCCAGCCGTTGCTGGACAGATGGCGTTGAATAGCAATGATGAAATTGTTAATTTTCAGGTAAATTCAATGTTATTTACTAACTAACCAATATGTTCTAATTTTAAATATGAGTCTATAAGATTTCTATTTTTTTTTTTGTAAATATGTTTTTTAGGACCAATATTTTTTTATGTTTTTTCAATATTGTCTATTATGCATTTCAGGATTTAGACTACGAACTGCGACGTCAAACGCAAGACTGCCTGTCGGAGAATGGTTTGGAAGGAAGTGACTCTGAGTGGCCTCAAGTTACGGATACCATACACTCGCCTCACACTACCCACAATCATACCAACTTCTTAGGATTACAAGTAATTTTTTTTTTCTTTATAAAAGTCGTATTTTAGATGCACTCTGTACCTAACCTTAGCGCGAATCATCAGTTTTGTGAGAACGTATATTTCTCTTCATATTATGACGGCTTAGAGTTCGTCAATAAAATTATTGACATTTTATATAAAGTCTTATTTGGATTTGATGTTCCTTTCACGTCTATCTCTGGATTAAGCAGATTAAACTAACCTTAAATGAAAGCTGCTTAAATGCTACTTAATCTACTCTCAATCTTATTGCTAGCTGTCGAAGTAAACTGCTTGAAATTATTTTTTAGCAACAAAGGTCCCGGTATCCGGAGCCGAACGTATCAGAGCTGAGTGTGGGCGCAGCGTGGAGCGGTTCCGCCTCGCCTGGTGCACCGAGACGCGACCGCGTCCCCTTCGCTCTCTCCTCCGACACTAGCGACACCGGTAGCGACCTCTCGCTCATGCTCATGGAAAACGAACTCTCCGAGATGAAAGGTGAGACAAGTACGTATTGCTGCACTCCTTACTCCATATGGTTGTGTGCTCACGTACACCTAGTGCTTAGTGATCACGTGCTCTCTTCTGGCACCAGCGACACCAGCAGTGAACTCTTGCTTATGCTCATGTAAAACAAGTTTTTTTTTTATTTATTTTATTAAAATAGGTACACATTACAGAGAATTAACAATGTTATATTAATTTATACGGTACAATAATGTTTCGTTTGAACAAATCCTCTAAAAATATGCGTATACAGCATGATCAATTCATAAACACACTGTTTACAAGTATATGTATAAGTACAATATAATTTATGCATCAAAACAATTTACTCACACAAATATACAAATATATACACATATCTATATATGTGTATATATTTGTATATTTAATTTTATTATTATAATATATAATTATAATTATGTGTGAGTATCCATAAACTCACACATAATTACACATAATTTTTGACGTGAAAGGTGATATAAGTACATATCCTGCATTCGTAACTTGATATCATTGTATACTCATGTACAAGCTATTGTATAGCAACCGCATATCTTCAGCCCTATCCTATATCACAAGCTCATAATTGGAGAACGAACCCTTTGAAATGTACAACATACATATGTTACATTTCTTAGCATCAATGTGTACTCAATACAGTCTAAAATTAAGGTGCTTAGTGACCGCGTATCTTTCAAGTTTCCATTAGATATCAGCGGTGAGTATACCTGTTATTTTTTTTATACTACTTAGAATGCTAGACAAGCTGACGGCCCATCTGATGGAAAGTGGTAACCGTCGCCTATAGACACGAGCAGTACCATGGACATAATAGAGTACACTGTTTCGCCCATGATACCCCCCATGCGTTGCCATTCCTGAGGACTTAGTTGTTATTCCTCTGTACCCTGTAAATTCACGCCATATCCCATCCTTCAAACCGAAACACAGCCATGCAAACACAACTGCTTTACGGTTGAAACACGAATAGGACAGAGGTACCCAAGTACCCATTATTTGTTCATCGAAATTTCTAGAGTTTTGAAATATATTGTCTATATTTCTATTGCAGTGCAAATAGACTCGAGCCGCGTGGTTGTGACGCATCTACCGATCGTAGAGGACGGTCTCTCCTCAGGACATGCGTCTGACAATGACAATAATAATCAAATGCCATCGCTGCAGGTAATTGTTTTTATAGTAGGGAAGTATTTTTTTTAATGGATGATAATGGAGCGGTAGCCTCGCCTGCATCAACGGTATATGCTCGCGGGGCACCAGTGAAGGATGATAAGTGAGAATGAAAAGGCTGGTCAGTTAGCCCATCGTGATGAGTACACCTGGAATTCAGCACGATAGTTTCCAGGGGGGACCACGTGGAGGTCGACCTGACAGGGTATATTGCTAGCAATGTGACTGGTAGTCCACATTACTAACAATCCCTTCTCCCCAGCAGGGGAGTATTATATTGTATCAACCAATAACCGTCCACTGCTGAACATAGCCTCCCTCGAAAGAGGGGTTTGCCAGTAGTTGCCACGTTCGGCAGGCGGGTTGGCAACCGCAGTTTGGATTTTGGCGATGTTTTAAGAAGGACGCTGCTGCCCATCCCTCGATGGTAGGGAAGTACCAAACATTAATAAGAGAAGTCTGATGGTACAGATAGTAAAAGGTTAAAATTTAAAAATGCCACCTGCTCATAGTCGTGAGGTCTCGATATAGAATGGGCCACCCCTTCCTCATCATCATATCTACCGTTAACTGTACACTGCTGAAAATAGGCCTCCCCCTATTGGAGGATTTTGCCAGTAGTTGCCAATCTTGACAGATGAGTTGACAACTGCAGTTAGACTTTGGTGGTGTTTAAAGAGGGACTCTGCTCATGCCTCGTCAAGTTCCCTTAATTACCTCTTACGACACCCACAGGAAACGAAGGGATGGTCCATTCTATGCCGAAATTACACGGTACTATATATAATACAATGGCCTATTTGTATCATTTACGGTTTGGAAAAGTGATTAAAATAGATATAAAGAGAAATATTTATTTGCAATGCAATTAGAAGGAAACTAAGCAAATAAAAAACAAAAATTAATCAATCATTGTTTAAACCCAATTTTCCATTTGCAGACTCATAATACATCAGTAATCATAGAAGAAATAGTTGAAAATGGAACTAATACAGACCCTCATGTTCTATCAGATGCCGATTTACATTCTTTGGATCCTTTAGGTGAGTGTAAATCTATAACATTTAATTTACGTACTTGTTTAATATGCCCTAGATTTAGTCTAATTTCTTTTTATACAGTAACTATTGAAATATCACTATTATTATATTTTCACATACCGAAAACTAAATATATCGATAATTATGTTTATATTTAGGTTTACGCTTATATAAATGTATGAACAAAAATCCGTATGGATATGTATGTATTTTAATTTTTATCTGGAAACATGAGGATCTTCCTATGCCACTGCGTTAGGTTGACTGGAAGAAATCTCTTTTAGAGATAAGTTCGCCTTTGCTAACATTGTTATTAACTTATTGTTGTTAATGTATGTTTTAGTGCAATAAAGAATATATATATATATATATATATATATATATATATATATATATATATATATATATATATATATATATATATATATATATATATATATATATATATATATATATATATATATATATATATATATATATATATATATATATATATAATATATATAATCTAAATTAATTTTATTGATATTGCAAATAGATTACATTATTGCAAATTTACTATAAGACCCAAATATTCATATGTGGATGCATCATAAAGTTTGAATATTGTGTACAAATACTAAATAATTATTACAGCGTGTGGTGAAGTGCCGCCACCGCCGCCGGCGCCGGCGCCGCACCGGCCGGCTGACGGCGCATTGCCAATACCACATACAGCGCCGCAGCACTTGCCGCATTCGCCGCATTCACCGCACGCGCCGCACTCGCCGCATTCGCCGCACGCGCCGCATTCGCCGCATGTGTCGCATTCCCCGCACCACCATCACGCGCAGCACATCACACATCACGACGACGTTTATCCGCCAAGGTAGAATAATGTTTTTATTAGATTTTAAGCGACTCTCGCTGTCTAAAGGATCCCACAATTTTTTTTATGTTTATCTCTTTTATCTTCTACTACTACTATTCTGTCTTTACGTTAAGCCGCAACAAAATATTGATACTATGATATGCTTAAAATAGTTCAAATATTTGCGTTTATTAAATTTAATTATGTAATTTTTTCCTCCAATTGTTTCACGTGATGAATGAAAAATGAGCATAGAGGATATTAGTTTAGACATTTAGTAAAATAAAGCAAAATATATCAACTAAATTATTTTTCCAACTTGAGAAACAGCATATTAGTTTTATTCCCTTCGTTTCTTTTTATTTTATATCTATATTTATATATTTTTTGAGAAAAGAAAGAAATGTATTGATGTTATTATATTAAATATAATAATTTTTAATGATTTTACAGAAAACGGCCGTCTTCAGCTCAGAGCGCGGAATCAGTAGAAATAAAACAAGCCAGCGGTGACGAAGGTAACTAAACAATTACCATTTCATCACTTCGTTGTTCACCACTGAATATAGACTGTCTGCCACAATATGAATTAATTGAATAAATTAAATTTTAAATTTCAAAATTCTATTTAAACCTAATTTAGATATTAAAGATAATATACGATTTAAATAGAATGTCTACTCAGAAAAAAAAAACCTAATTACACAGAATTCTTTCCTTGCTAACTATACTTTCTATGTTGACAGATTGATGTGATTATTATGCCTATTCTTATTTTAAAAAAAATTAAAAGTAAATGTTCTGCATTTAGCTAACTACTAAAAACTTATATACATTTTTTTTTATGGGTGAAAATGGTATGGTAACCCCGCCTGCGCTAACGGGATACGCTGGCGGAGCACCAGTGAATGAAAACAGGCCAGTTAGCCCATCATGATGAATTCATCAGGAATTAACCATGATAGTTTCCAGCGAGAACCGCGAGGAGGTCGACTTGGTTGGGTATATTGCTAGCAATGGGATTCTTGGTCTCCATTACTAACAATCCCTTTCCCCCCGCTTATATACATTTGGCTAACTAATAATATTATTGGTATATTCCAGATGAAGCGGACACAGATTTAGAGACTGACAGACTACTTGGGCAGCAGAGGACAGACGACCAAGGCTTCTTCGATGAAAAAGTAAGTTATTTTAAGGTTATCTACTGTATTGATGATGTTGATTCACTCTTGTTAATGACGCAATCATATGAATCTTTTTTTTTTTATTTATAAACATTTTTCTTTCAATTTGTCCTTTCGGACAGACTACGACCACAAGCCATTCTGCCTTGTACGTTTTTATATGGTGTTACTGCATAATCTATGGTTGCTGCAAGGATCGTGAAGTGTGAAGCAAATTGCGACGACCTACTAATCAGCAGCCACATTCACGTCATTCGTTTATAATTGAATTGCATTATTTACCGTCACCTCTTCGTTTTTTCATATATGTATGCAAATTATTGTAAATTTATATAGTTCAGTTGCTCATATATTAACACTAAACCTACCAAGCGCAGTCAAATGACCGTTTTTGAAGTTTATTTTAAAATTTTTCATGTATAATTTTACTGTATCACCATGTAACTTATTGACTTTTTCTATAATATACATACAAGCCATTTTTCAATATTTACAACTTACTATTATTTACTTGTTTACTATGCGATTGGCTAAAATCTCTTTCCATGTTAAGATACATATTTTATTTTAAAGCGGTCATTTGACCGCTCATAGTAGGATTAAGTATGTATGAAATGTCGGTAAGTTTAGTGTTAAAATCATATCCAAAAGAACAACAAATCCGTTATTACTGCAAATCCAGTAAAATAAACTTGGAACTACCCAATCGGCAAGGGCTAACCAACGCACACATGCCCAAATATAATGGCATTCATTAAGAAAAAAAAAAGGTAATGTCAATGTCGTCGGTAACAAAAGTCACAGCTTTTTGTTTGCTTGTTTTTGTGGTAATTTCCTTAAATGATTATAATTTACCAAACCGGCGACTTTAAACATCAAGAACCTTATTCCATCGTTGGCGACCTTATTAATTTTATTACATGATGAATAGAATAATTTTTTTGAATTATGGCGCGTCTCACATAACAGAGAACAACCTAATGTGTGATCTCGCTTACAAATGCATTGTGTTACCTTGTGACATTAAAACGATTTATTATATTTCATTTTTATTGTACGGAACAAGTGCCAACATACTTGGTGAATTTTTTTTACTAGTAACTAAAAATTCCATCATATTATAATGGAATTTTTGGTTTATCCTTACACGTATTTTTTTTTAATGTGTGATAATGGAATGGTTGCCCCGCCTGCGCTATCGGTATACGCTGGCGAGGCACCAGTGACGGTGACGATGAAAAAGCAGGTCAGTTAGCCAATCATGACGAATTCCACTAGAATTAAACGCGATAGTTTACAAGGGGGACCGCGTGGAGGCCGATCTGATAGGGTGTATTGCTAGTTATAGGGAAGTCAGACCCCATTATAAACAGGCCAGTTAGCCCCTCATGATGAGTTCATTAGGAATTAACCATGATAGTTTCCAGGGAGAACCGCGAGGAGATCGACCTGGTTGGGTATATTGCTAGCAATAGGATTCTCAGTCTCCATTAATAACATTCCATTTCCCCTGATAACATTATCATGCCATACAATATAGTTCTAGACAAAACATCAATACGATACTAGTATGACACAATACATTTTATTATTCCGAAGTCAGTCGAATTACCACAGGTCATAATTCTATATTACGCGACTAATTTACATTCGATAACTCATTAAAACGTGACCGTGACACACTGGCAGATAGATTGACGAACACGGAAGTTTCTTCACAAAAATATTTTTATTTTTTGATATACTGAAATATAATATAATGAAAGGAGAATGTTTGTCAAAACATAACGTAATTACATATATATGATTTATTATGTATGATTATACATACATTTTTATTATTTTTAATTAGTTACTCTAATATTTTTTACTATTTATATATATATATATATATATATATATATATATATATATATATATATATATATATATATATATATATATATATATATATATATATATATATATATATATATATATATATATATATATATATATATATAGGTAGAATAATGTTGGATTAAAATCTGCTAATAGGTTACTGCGCAAAATCTTCAAAATCGACAGAATTATTAAAAAAACCATCCGTTTGATTTATAACTCCTAATAAAAAAATACAATAAATAAGTAACTAAATAAATAAGAAATAATAAAATAATGATAATTTGATTTAAAAAAATTAACAATATTTTAATCGTAATCTCAAATTTTTTTTATATATTAATAAATTGTTTAGTTATAAATCAAGTACAGTAGTATATATTATTTAATAATATGATGTAAAAATGGAAACAATATTAATTTTTATACCTGTATTTATAATTAAACAAACCAACAAAAAAAAAACAATTAAAAAACAACAATTGATTAATTAATGGATTTTATAAGTGAACACTAAGTCAGCAGCATAACATGATGTAATTTGTCAGCTGTAAGCTGTAAACAACGACTAACTAGAGGCGCGCGCGCAGCCGACCGACCTTGCTCTCCTATTATGGCTCGGTCATAGATTAGTTAAGTTACAGCGCGTTATTTTCTGCCTACAAGTAGTCTGAGATTATGTTTATATATATATATACAATTTATATTTTTATATTATACAAACTTATATTATATATAATACTAGAAACAATCAACGCTCTGCCGGTTTTTTTTAAATAAAATACATCTTACTTCTTGGTAATATAGGTGAGAGTTGCAGAAGTTAAAAATATTTAAAAACGGGTTAAGTTAGTAAAATCAAATTTCACCCCGTTTTTTATATTGGTTTAGATTAAAGAATGAAAGTCATATTGTAATTATATAGTTATTATATAGTTATTATATTCCGTTCACCATAGTGATAATCGGTAATCTACAAATACCTCTGACTATCCCAGTGAGGATTATAGTCATGAACGTATTTATTTTAATTATATGTATACTTTTTATGGTTGTTATAATACATACTTATTAAAATAGCGTGCAATTGTGAGATCAATGTATGTTACACACTCGTGAGTCCGTTTTAATTTTAAAACAAGTTCAAATAGTATTTGTATGTAGTGGTATATAGACATAGTCCCAAGGCTATCTATTAATAGGTATTAAAAAGCAAAATAATATCTCAATCTAAATCTGTACGTTTAATCTTTGCCACGACGTATTTACATTTTACACATTGAATAAATCGCCAACGCATGAACGCATCAGTATTCATACAACGCGCTCCAACTCAACATGTGTGCGTGTCTACATGATAACATTGATAACAACACACGACGATATGCGACTAGCGTCGGAAACGTGCTACTGGCCCGATAACAGGACTTGTATGGGAAACGTGGCGTGAAATAATATAGTAGTAATGACCGACGGGGAAAAGTCACCTTGTCTAGACTCGAATAGTGATATTGTTGATAACAAAGATACGGAATCGAAGGAGTCATTAGAGGATGTAACGGAGGAGACTAAGTGCAATGTGTCGAGTGATGAGTGTCAGAAAGAGATAGACGATAATGAGTGCGTGGTCGAGAATAGTAATGGTAATGAAGAAGAGGTATGTAATGTTTTTTATGACCTATTTTTAATACTTGTTATATACAATAAAGAAATAATTATTGTAATAATTTAAGATTTAGTTCTGCAGAAGGATAGTGACTTCTGTCTTGATAAAATTAATACGGTACCGATAAAGTTGCAAAAAGAAATATCAAATTTGGTTCAGAATTAGCGAAGATAAGGTAAAGCGTACTAGGGAATTGAGAATCCGCTGCTTTTGTAATTGCTCAAAGGATTTTCATTTTAACTGACGACATATTATTGTCGAATATTTTTTATATTTTATTTTCTTAACTGATCAGTTAAATAAAAAAAATAGGTTACCAAATTGTTTATTACGGTTTATTATACTTTATATATATATATAAAGTGTATATATGTACGTATATTTAGTGGTGCGAAAAACGGTTAATAAAAAAAAAAAAAACATTATAAAAAGTTATATACCAGAATAAGAAAATTTTCCGCGTCCTTATTTACACACGACATTTAGAGAAATATATTGTATCTGTACTAGGTAAACGAGTTTATTGGCATCGTTTTGAATATATTTCATAATTGTCAAGTTTAATATGTTGTCACGATTTTTGTCCTGGATCGAATCCTTTACCAGAGAATGTTGAAAGGGTTGACTTTGTACAAATGTCATCTATTTGGGAAACCTCTGTCCCATTCGTGTTACTGCCTTGAAGCAGTTGTGTTTGCATGGCTGTGTTTCTGTTTGAAAGGCGGGCTATGGCAATGAAATTGCAGGGTACAGAGGTATAACACCCAGTCCTCAGGAATGGCAACGTATGAAGGGTATCATGGGCAACATAGTATACTCTGTTATGTCCATGGTACTGTTTATATCTATAGGTTATTGTTACTTTTTTCCATGAGCTTGTTTGCCGTACTAAGTTGCATTTAAAAAAAAATTTTTTTCGTATGTTTTACGGAATCGGCCCTGTCATATAAAGTCCAGTAACAGACAAACAGGTTGTCTTTATATATCTAATAAAATGTTTGTATCCGAGTAAAAAAATATGCCATATATAATAATTTGAAGTCATTATAAATAAATTGATTATAGTTATGCAAATGTTAATCTTATATGTAATTTAAATAATATTTTCGATACTCAAATGGGGTCTACGTAGGTTAAATGTCTGGGTCATATTGTAATAAAAAAGTATTGTATAAAAAATATAATATTAATTACGATGAGTCTCCATGTTAACGTCTCATTAATGCAAATGTTTATTTAAGAATATTTTTAAAGTGTCAATGACTTAGTGGTTATAACTTACTTTAATATAAAATTTAATTAAAATCAAAATTAAAATGCATTCTATATTGTGACATGTATATAACAGAATATATAAATTTTTTTTTTTGATGGGTGAAAATAGTATGGTAATCCCGCCTGCGCTAACGGAATACGCTGGCGGAGCACCAGTGAAGGGTGATAGATGAGAATGAAAACAGGCCAGTTAGCCCATCATGATGAATTCATCAGGAATTAACCATGATAGTTTCCAGGGGAACCGCGAGGAGGTCGACCTGGTTGGGTATATTGCTAGCAATGGGATTCTCAGTCTCCATTACTAACAATCCCTTACCCCCCAATATATCAATATTGTTTTTGGTGATTAGGCATGGGTAATATTGGTACTGCTCTTTTTATATTGATGGCGGGAAAATTTTCACGATCGGGTTCTTTCGACATTAAATATCTGATAACAGACATTTAACATATTCGTGGATAGTTAAAGGCTGATATAACGATGATGATGAAGTAATGATTAATTTAGTTGTTCTTTTTCTATATTTTTTAATGAATGTCAAACCCTGTTCGATGCAGTTTATATAGTAGTAAATGTGTCACTATTTAAACTAACTCCATTTAAGTCTAACATATGCTCGCAGTTCTAAATAATGCTTGTAGAGAAAATACGATTAAGTCAAACGGGTTCATTATACCATATATAGTACTGATGCTCGTTTTAGTGCGTAGGATGTCGCCTTGGCCAAATGTATGAACTATATGCAAGACCTACTATAATAAACTTATTATAGTATTTCTTATATATATATATATATATATATATATATATATATATATATATATATATATATATATATATATATATATATATATACTAAAAATGTCACTGCTTTTTATTGAGGTGCAAAATAGGATCTCCAGCGCCATCCCTACGACGATGCAAATAAACGTCTTCACTGTCTAATCTTATGGCGTTTATCTTAGACCTTAACGCCCAGTTTTAACCTCTTTTAATTTTCTCCGACCGTCTCTTTCCTCTCAAGAGCAGGTTTTTTTTAGTGGATTTTAAGAAAATGGTTACCCCGCCTGCGCTATTGTTTTACGCTGATGGGGCACCAGCAAATGATAGGTTAGGATGAAAGCAGATCAATCAACTCATAATGGCGAATTTATCATAAAATAACTACAATGGATTCCAAAGGCAATCGCGTGGAGGTCGCCAGTAATGAAGCCGTTAGTTCCCATTTCTAGTTTATCCCTTCATCCTTATCAGGCCAAGTGCTGTATATGTTGTTTGTCATCAGGGATGGCGCAAGCCGAAGTCTCGCACGGTGATGCCGGCGGGCAGCGGCTCGGGCTCGGCGCGCTCGCCGCCGCACGCGCACGACGCGCCCGACGGCTCGCACGCGCGCGACGAGGACGCGCTGCACAACGGAAAGGTATGCCCTGCGCTTCATAATTATTTATTTATTACATTACATCTACTGGATGAGCTTTATAGTCTTCCAATACGCTCACCAGGAAATCAACAGTACAATAATATTTATAAAAAAGGAATAATACGCATAAATAAATTTGATTTCTAAATTCCTGTATACAAACACCTTGTGGTCACTCGACGAAACTCCAGCAAGTTGGAGGCAAATACATCCAATTGCGGATACCGGTTCAAAATATCATTGAGTAGTTTCAATGCAAGAGATAGGGGAGCTTGCTTAGGCAACTCTGTTCTTCGCAGTGGAACATATTTTTTTTTATACAACTTAGAATGGCAAACAAGTTGACGGCCCAACTGATGGAAAGTGGTAAACGTCGCCTATAGACATAAGCAATACCATGGACATAACAGAGTATACTGTTTCACCCATGATACCCCTCATGCGTTGCCATTCCTGAGGACTCAGCTGTTATTCCTCCGTACCCAGTAAATTCATGCCATATTCCACCTTTCAAACCGAAACACAACCATGCAAACACAACTGCTTTACGGTTGGAACACAAATGGGACAGAGGTACCCAAGCAATCGACTTTTGTACAAAGTCTCCCTCTGGTGATTGCCGACTACGTGCTCGCACGTAGTTACTGTGCGCTCCTGTTGATATTATTACCAATACAGTTATTATTTCACTAGTTAAGCGCCTTTGTAACATAGTATCGTAAGATTGCAAATTAACTGTCAAATTTCAATTATAATTGAACATTTTCAATGTTTTTGATTGATCATTAAAACAGTGCTCTGCTACCACCGTGGGCTCCAGGTATAGAATAGGCCACCCCTTCCATTCCTGTAGGTGTCGTTATAGGCGACTAACAGAACTTAATAGTAGTGGGATGGGCGACAGCGTCTCTCTTAAAACATCACTGAAAGCCTAACTGCAGTTGCCAATCCGCCTGCCAAGCGTGGCAACTATTGGCAAAATTCCCTTTATGGGGATGGCTTATTTTGAACAGTTGACAATTAACGGCTAATATGTTCATGATGAGGACTTACAATATTTTATATTTAAAACAATAAAATTATTTTTCAGGACAAAGATGGAAAAAAGAAAAGCAAAAATAAAGAAGGTGAGTTAGTTTTTTTTATTTTAATATTTCTACACTCATTCGAAACATCAGAATATATTATAGTAATATCTTGTCTAAATCTTTTTTTTTTTATTATAATCATATGACCATTACCAATATAAATTTATGGATAAATTAAAATATAGACAATACTCAATAGTCTTGTATATAAAATGATGGTAAATAAAAACTACAGTAATTATATAAGTTCGTTTCTCATATTTAAGAGGGCCTCTTAATAGTTTCATTACATAATAGAATATTATATTTTATCTGTATATAATTATATTTATACACGCATTTTATTTTCCGCATGCCCCGGAACGTTTTTCATGGTGAGTAGGTAGTATAATGTTTGGCATTTACTACGATCTAGAAATATTTATTAAATCAACCATTAAAATAGTTTCTTTTCTGTTATAATTGTTAATTTAATAATTAAATTAAAAAAAAATCTTGACGGACATGGGAATATATCTGCTAATTTTTATGTCAGATTCGTCTTAATGGATATAAAAAAAAAAGATTATTTTTCATTATTTATTAGTATTTATTTATTTATTTAAGCTAGAAACAGATTTTAATATCAATATGATCTTTTACAATTATAAGTTTTCAACTTATATATTTTAATATAAACTAATTATATTTATACCTGATAAATAGAAAAAAAAAAGAAAAAAATCATTTGTCCATTAAACAATAAGTAATGAATAAAAATGGTTTGAGATGTAACATTATTATATGTACTACACCAGTGTGCACTGATTTGAATAATATCCCACGCTAATTCCAGATGCGGCTCGTAAAGTTCTCATAGAGGGCGTCTTGTTCCGAGCGCGGTACCTCGGCTCCACGCAGCTAGCCTGCGAGGGTCAGCCCACCAAAGCGACCAGGATGCTCCAAGCCGAAGAAGCAGTTTCCAGAATTAAGGTATGACAACGTACTAAACGTCCCGGACGATCCAACAACGGATGAGGGCGTTATATACGTTGGAGCTATTTTTGAATATAGAATACACTATTACCAATTTAAATTTTTTTATGGAATGTTTACATTTTTAAAATATTCGCGAATTATAATTATATTTTTAAGAAAAGTTATTGACAGATAAACCGTCAACTGAAGTAAAACTTGACATAGACAATTATTTTGAGTTTTCAGGAAACCGATTTTTTTACCACTTACAAACGTTGATATAATTGTTATCTTTTTATATATATAAAAAAAAGAAAAAATTGACTAACCTTTAATTTTTTTTATTTACCTATTTTAATTGATAACAGATGATATAAGTATATATTGTCGTAACATTCCAATCATTAACGATCTATTAATAATAAAGTATCACGGTGCCTTGACTCAAAACTAGCTTACATTCAATATGATCATTAAATTGCCACATTTGGTACAATAAAATGGAAGTAATAATGAGATTGTTTGTCTACAATGATAACTCCAAAACTAATAATTTATTGTTTAAATGACATTAAATTTTGTTTGTAGATTGTCTACTTTATTATTGTTACTCTAATATATTGTTTGTCAAAAAAAATTATGTACTTAAATTAATCTTAACCATAATACCATTTTTGTTCTATTTAGACTGCTTATGCACTGTTCTAAGTTTAAAAATTTTCTTTTATAAAATACCATTTTTTTTCTTCTACTACGAATAGTGCACAAGCAAATCTATGTTAAGTTTTAAGATCGTTTACGTCACCTTTTATTAACACCTCTGGGTTTGGGAATATAACAATTTATTTTGTTATACTTAACATGCATTCTCATAATTTATAACACAATACAAGGGCAACCGTATTAATTGCCAGTGTGAATCGGTAACATGTTGTCTCTTTTGTAGATGTTTGTGAAGAGCATGAAATTACTTCTGTCTCTTTTCTTCACCGTTCTCTACAGCACTGTTGTCCAAAATTTTATGTATGCTATACGAGAGAATACCTAATTAACAGGAGCTACAAAACTCCGCCTGTCTCACACATGTCTCGATACTTTACTTCTTTTTCTATTTTCACTCTTGATACTTTTTAAATATTTTATTTTCTAAATACCCTAAAATTTATCTTTAAATATTTATTTATATTTTTCGATTTATTATTCTTCTGAAAAAGTTGCTGTACTTAAATATTTACTTAATTCCTTCTTATATAGAAACTTATGTATAACTAAAGCTATTGATAGTATTTATAGCGACTTTGAAATATTCAATTTTCTATAATAGCTACTGGGCATTACCAGCACCTTCCAGCTTCGAAATTTTTGCACGCAAATCATAATGTATATAATGTAATTTCATGCTCATTAGGTTTAGTGTTTTGAGAATGCTAGTGGGTTTCCTATTTATCCTTATTAATCCTAAAAAAATGGTACCATAGACTAGAGTTACGTGTCGTGCAAGCCCTGTGAATGTGACGGAACCTTGTGGCCGGTCCACGTACCTGTCCGCCAAACCGTTTTCGCTCTTATTGACATGGCACTAGAGTATTTTTTTCAGTGTGCCCTCACCCCGACCCGACCCAGGAAGATTGTCGGATCCCGTACTGGCCGGCTAGCCTCCTCTGGATATGTTTGCTCTATCGCTTACTATTCCGCTTGATGCTATGCTTTTTTGTTCCTTTTTATAACAGTGCAAGGTAAGATTTAGTAAGTCACCCGTACGGTTCTAAAATTTTTAAGTTATGTTCACTCTAAAAAGTGCATTGTAAAAGTTAGGGAAATTATTACTTTATAACGCAAGGAATAAAACATATTCAATATTTACGCGAGTGTAATACAGACATTCCAAATTTAAATAATTGACCATTTAGAATAGTTTACGTTTTTAGAATTAAGTATTTATTATAAAATGAAATAAAAAAATTACTTCAAAGTACTATTTATAACTAAAAAGTACTATTATCATTGAATGTACATTACGTTTAGACTGTTTGGTTTGACCTCGACGTAAAAAAAATACCTACTGTACTTTTTTAAAATTGTATATGTAGGTTTTAGGATCTATATAAAGATAAGGAATTAATTAAAATATGACGGAAGATTTATTTATTATTGTTTTGTTTTAATAGAGAATTACGAAAGTAGATTTACAAAGAAATACATAAAGTCCTCAAATTAGAATGTAGAAATAGGACGAATAAAACGCGATCGCAAAAATCAAGCTTAGCAATTTTTTTTCGCCAAATTCTTCATGCAGCAATGCAGTACTTGCACAGTAGAAATTTCGCCAAGCATGTTTAAAAAAATAATTTAAAATTCAATTATTAATAAGGACTTTTTCGTTCATTCGATATAAATATATAAAAAAATACTCTGATGACTACTAAATTGCATGAATAAAAAAGATTCTGGTTAATTTAATTAAAAAGTCATAAATGGGTAGTCCTTGAAAATATATCCACTTTAATTAGGCAATATTGGTAATAAAAAAAAAATAGATCGAAAGAACGAAAACATGAAATACATCATAGATGAATGAAATGAATACAGTTCATTCATTCAATTGAAGTTGTCAGTCGTTTTAATTTTGACGCACAATATAACTCACCTGCACGATAGCATGTAACATGACCCGATTCACACCGGCTGAGGTGGCCGAACGGTCTCACAGACGCGTATAGCTTTACGCCTAAGCACAATTGATATCAAACCCTATTATAATACTGTTAAAGATTGATTTTCCGTTAGGTCTGCTTTCATACTAACGACGAACGATGCTAGCTCGCTTCTCACATACCATTTTTGAATTGTGTGTTTGTATTCGAGTTGTTTTGCTTGCTTTTGCGCAGTTGTTTGTCGGAGGACAAGGTTGGAAGTGTTTGATTTTATTGGTATTTGGATGGTCCATTGTCTTCATAAGAAAGCAAGCTCGTTAATACTATTTAATATTAATATGACGCATTGCTTTTTAGTCGTAAATTACTCATTGATTATCTGAGGATTAATTAAAAAATAAAATGGAAAAATAAGTTGTTAAAAATATTTTAATCAAACTCGATGTTAGGTGAACTGTAAAAAAGCACTAGTCTCAGATATAGAATAAACAGTGCATAATGATTCGTGATTATGCTTATCTTTATAGAGTACTTTCATTTATATTTGAGCATTGACGTATTTTTATTTGTTTTTAATTAATTGAAAATGGCCGCCGTTTTAATATGCATTAAATTAATTTATAAGCAACATAATTTATATATATATATATATATATATATATATATATATATATATATATATATATATAATATATCATAAAAAATAGTCCCCAATTTAAATATCTACTAGAATTTTTAATTACACTGTAAAAATGGCATGTTTTCTTTTGGGTTAAAATATGTCTGTCAAAATTGTCAGTCAAACGTCAAATTAGCTGCCAAATTTTGATATTTTTTGTAATCGATGCTTTATCTATATAATCTAAGATTGTAGGTATACGATAGTTAATTGTGTCTCACAGAACATTGCTTAAAACACATGAATTTAAATTAGGTACAAAAATGCCTAAGAAATCCATAGATCGCATCAATAGTTAGACTAATTATATATGGACAAATGCTTTACAATTGCTAAAATTCTTTTAGGAATTGAATCAAATTTATTACGCTTGCTAACTCTAATATGTCACATACATATATATAATTCTTAAAAATATGCCAAAAACGTTAAAAGGAAATTAATTTTGCTATCTAGTAAATGATACCAATGAATCTTACCTTCAAAGACGTGTCATTTTTCTGTCTCGATGTTACCATTCAGTGTAAAAGAGATAAAGAGTAAGAACATTCGTTAAATTGTTCTTTCTAACATTTACTCTACTCAATATTCGACTTTTGTTACTCGATGGGTTGGGTCTCGAAGGTGCAGTTTCCATTTTCATATTATAAACTTCTTGGCCAGTATACAATGTTAAAAACAACGTTATAATATTCGAGCGAGACAAAACGAATACGGCACGTATGTGAGAGCGAGACAGCGATCGCGCGAGGAGGTTAGCCGGTGTGTCCCGCTCCCGCAGTGGGGCTGCGACGGTCCGTATTCCGGCGTGTACGCGGCGCCGGCGGCGGTGTTCCGCCTCGCCTTCCTGGGCTCGGTCGAGGTCGACGAGGACTCGCGCAGAAGGAAGAAGCGCCCCAAAAAGAACATGGTTGAGGAGGCGGTCACTAAGATCAAGGTGGTTTGGCCGACGGTTCAGTGTCCGATTGTAGATTTTATTACCTATTCGCTAGAGTCGAATTACGTTTATCTAATAAATGTTTATTGATGAGCGTTACATACAAAATGTAACGGAATATACGACAATAAAACTATCAAAAAACAAATAACATAATTTATACATTTACCCCCTTTATCATATAAACTATAACCTCCTACAAACCTATTTCACCTATTGAAATGTCTTGTCACTTTCTTTCAAATGATGAATTTAGCGTAAAAGAAAAAGACAAAACACTTCAATAGCTAAAACCAGTTTATGAGACGATTAATGTTTTTATAAATAAGGGGGTAAATATTTAAATGGTGAATTCCAAGAACTCATTAGATAATACTCAATATTAATATAGGCATTAAGATACTTTGAGATTTTCTCGGTTTCTTTTGTTTTGAACGATTAACGACAAAAATTTATGAACACTCATGACCTTTATTGCGTCAGTGTAAGAATCAAAATTGTCTAAGTGTTTATCAATTTTTGTCGCTGTGCGCTTATTATATTGTACTAATTTGATAATGTATTTCCATTTTGCTACCTCGGCTAATATCAGGCTTTGGTAAGTTCCAAATTATGTTCAAAAACTTATATCCTTATTAGATATTGTCTCGTTGTATTTCAAAATTTCGCTGTATATTGCTGAACTGTGTATGGTATTAAATAACCGCTTATCGTAAAAGCAGTTAATTTCTGCGTTACTTGTTAAATTTAAAACACATAAAAGAATTTTAATATTTCTGAACGGTCATTTAAAGAAAGAAAACACAGTAAATTCAATATTTATTGCACTAATTTCTTATGTCATAAAAGAGAAAAATAATACTTTCATGATGCGAGAAATTAATTTAATCTTATTTTAAGAAATTACCTTTTATTTATTTACTTATTCGTAAGTACATACATATATGTGTACATGGTGGACTTAATGCTAAAAGCATTATCTCCCAGTCAAACATAGGGAAGTGTCAGAATACTCGAATGCGGTACTGATTATCAAATAAGACATGGTTTAAAAATATTAATAGAATTTTGACACAGATATAACACTACTGTTAATTAAATACTTTTTAAGTGATTGATCGGAAATATTTATAATTGCCATGAAATAATAACACTTGTATTTATTTTTTTACATTATTGTACAAGTATCTTCTATTATAAATAAACTTTCAATTTATACACACAATTTTTATTACGTTATCAATTAACAGATGAATTGTGTTTAAAATTTGACAGTTAATGCAGCCTTGACAATTTCCCCTGCCTTAAACTCGCCAATCTTCTTTCTTATCTTCCCATTATTTGGAACACACCAATATTCACATTATATACACATTACGAGTATTAAATGTACAGCTTGCGATATACAGATTATGTAACATTTTTTGCTATTAGATTAACAGATATTAATAATTAATTTGTGAAAATTTCGAAGCGAACAAGGTTTGAACTCGCATCCTTTATGTCATGCCTTTGCCTAGTTTGCCTTATCTATTAAACTACCACTAATAGATTTTTTTTTATATGGCAACAATATTTCTATAAAACTACACAATTAATAAATTATCATGTATCTAATTATAATAAACGAATGTTACCTCTATACTTTATTGCCTTTAAGAAACTGTACAACGTCGCATGAATTACATACACATTGAATTATAAATACATTTCAGAATTTAAATATTTATACATTATCAGTGGCACGTCGTATATAGCACTGCATCATAGCTCAGCAAAGCACAGTTCAGAATTTAAAATAAAGTGTATTTGTAGAGATTTATGAATTAAATTTTTATTTATTAAAGGTGAAGTTTATTAGTAGTTTTTTAAAGGGAGTGTTACCAGTGTAACTATGGTATTTGTTTTCCAAAGTCATAAACAACAGTATTTAGAGTCTTTTATACTAATTTAAAAAACATACATTATAATGAGGGGCTCAGCTGAAATACTGTAATCCCTAGTCTTAGGCTACCCCGACTTACGCGAACCCGGAATTACACGATCTTCAAATCTCGTTGATTTTATTATTTGAATGTCACACAAATCTAGATTGTTCACATTTTATCCACATTATTGTTAAGCTAATGTGCATATCCCAACGTGTCCCGCGAAATGGACGCGTAGCTAGAAGCTAGGAGCTTACAAAAAGACGTTCAAAATTATACCCCGACTTACACGAATTCGACTTACGCAGTTATCGTTCAGTCTTATCTATCGCGTAAGTTTGGTGGTTTTTCTTTGGGACAAATACTTAGTTTCACTTGTATAACTCTCTCTTAAAGATTACGATTCACCATAGAAGGACAATTTTTTATTTTTGATTAAATATCTTTGCCCTCAGGCTCCTGAAGGCGAGAACCAACCAAGCACTGAAGTGGACCTTTTCATCTCCACTGAGAAGATTATGGTCCTCAATACTGAACTGAAAGAGATAATGATGGACCACGCCCTAAGGACTATTTCCTATATAGCCGATATAGGAGATCTTGTGGTGCTAATGGCTAGGCGGAGATTCGTGCCGCACGAAAATGACTCTGATCAGCCGAAACTGAATCGTACGCCTAAGATGATATGTCACGTTTTCGAAAGTGAGGAGGTGAGTGTATTGATTTTTAAAAAATATCAGAAAATGAATTTCTTATTTTAAAATTGGAATAAATGTATGTGGTATTAGTTATATTGCAATAAAGGAATTAGTAATTTCAATTTAATTTAAATTTAAAATTAGAAGATGGTATTCAGTATGGCAAGTAGTCGTCACATCACATCATTAGGAGAGTAGTTAAAAGTATTGTTGACTGCTACCGTTTTGGTGACTGTAGCGTACTAGAAACCAATTTAGTAAAGTTGAATTATCACTAACTTGACTACCACGGATTGTTTGAAAATTTAATTGTTGATGACAACGCATAAGCATGACAGTGTATTCTGTATTGTCCATGGTGCTGTTCATGTCTATAAGTGATGATTGCTACTTTTAATCATGTGGGCCGACAGTTTATTTGCCATTATAAATATAAAAAAAAATTGAAACAAAATTATTTGATGTCCAAAATTTGAATACACGACCACTGATCTTTTTGAATCTACTAGACCTTAGACGCTGTCAGCGAAACACGACGTATTTCTAATAAATATAATTATTATTTATTATACCATTTCCAGGCCCAATTTATAGCCCAGTCCATAGGCCAAGCATTTCAAGTCGCGTACATGGAATTCTTAAAGGCAAATGGCATCGAAGACCACAGCTTTGTCAAGGAGATGGATTACCAGGAAGTATTAAATAGTCAAGAGATATTCGGAGACGAGCTCCAAATGTTCGCCAAGAAGGAGCTGCAAAAGGAAGTTGTGGTACCGAAGACCAAGGGAGAGATTTTGGGAGTAGTCGTGGTGGAATCCGGGTGGGGATCGATGCTTCCTACCGTGGTTATAGCGAACTTGGCCCCGGCGGGCGCTGCTGCGAGATGCGGACAATTAAATATAGGTTAGATTTAACATTTAACTACCTATTTGTATCTGTAAGTCAGGTATTTTATGGCAGGTAGATAAAAACGAACGCTAAAGGCCACCTTACACGTATCTTGTGCTTCATCCACTCCCATAAATAATCTTCTGTAAAGTTGCCAGTTCCGGCGTCGTGATTTTGGCCTCAAACTGTATTGAATTTTTTTGACTGATCTCTGATCTCTCCCAGTGCCTGTATACTAACATATATATCAGGAAGAAATGTCAAATGTTATGTCTTATTTATTTTTCTTGGTCTTGAGACTTGAACCTAGAATATACTACGTCATAGCCCTTCCTTGGTTTCGCGTCCCTCAAAGGTTGTTATTTCACTATCAAAAGCCTCATTAGAATCATTTTCTATTTCATTATACAAAAAACTATAACAACTATTATAGAAAATTCAATATAATATTTTATTTATTTATTTAATAAACTTTAATACACCTTGAAAGTGTATATGGCGGATTTAACACCATATGGCGTTATCTGATAGTCAATCGTAGACAGTAATGTTTTCTGTACATTAAGCTTTGAGAGACTTCTGTATTGGGATAAAATTTATTATTCTTTCACTGCTCCATAACATCCTCTTTTATCCTTCTTCTACTTGCTACCTAAAGGAGCGGTTTGACTTCCTCCATATAGTTCATTCTCTTAATCTAAGGTCGTCTGGGAACCTCCAGCTGAAGACACCAGTTTACTTCAGAAGTTTTTATGACAAATCGTTTACTGTTCAAGCTATTCGACTATGGAATAGTCTATCAATCTCTAGAAACTATACAATATCTACCAAGTTTTAAAACAAAAGTTAAGGTCTTCTCTCCAAGCAAATTTTCATATTTGTAATTTGTGTCTGAATAGCATACTCACATTTTTTTTGTGACTACATATGTATGTGTATTCGTATAATATATGAATTTGTGTATATATGTGTACATTTGTACGTATATATTTAAAAATATAAATTTTATTTGGTTATGATTATTCTTTGTCTTGTTAATTGTATTGTCAAATATTACATATTTATTTGTAATTAAGTAATGGTAATAGTATTTAAATGTTTCGATATTAATATAATTGCTGTTCTTAAATTGTTGCATGCCCGATAGGGTATAACTGTTGATACTGATCTCAAATCCAAAGCAATGGTTACTGCTATATGTATGTACACAGTTAGCAATAAAATTCTATTCTATTCTATTCTATGGATTTATTTAAATATGTATCAATAATTTAAAATGTACATTTATATATTCCAATAATGTGAATACGTATGCATATCTGTATATGGATTTAAAAAACGAACAGTTTCGTGTCTCCAGTCAAACTGTTTATAATTACCCTTCTCCATCCAAAGGTTGCGTGGAAGAGATCGCTCTTAACGATAAGGTCGTCCATTATTTTCTCAGTGTAATATTTTCTTGTAATTGTTTGTATTTGTAATAAGTTTACTATTGTAATCTCATGGAGGAAGCAATAAAGAGTATCTATCTTTTTTTAAATAAATCGTGCAGGTGATCAAATAATCGCAATAAATGGTGTGAGCCTGGTTGGATTACCGCTGTCCACGTGCCAGACGTACATCAAGAACTCCAAGAATCAGACGGTAGTGAAGCTGACAGTGGTGCCGTGTGCGCCCGTCGTCGAGGTGAAGATCAAACGGCCCGACACCAAGTACCAGCTAGGCTTCAGCGTACAAAATGGAGTCGTAAGTAATTTATTGAATTAATTAATGAATTAATGAGAGAAGTGTAACCAAAAAGTAGAACGGCAACGTATATGATGTATACTTGGTGTCACCGAAAATATATCTTACCCCAAATTTTATGGGCGACAAAAGAAACCAGTAATGGATTTTTTATGTAACTTACAATAACAATCAAGCTGATGGCCCACCTGATGGAAAATGGTAAATGTAACCTATAGATATGAACAGTACCATGGACATAACAGTATACTGTTTCACCCATGATAAACAATGCAAACACAACTGCTTTGAAACACGAATGGGACAGAGGTACCCAAGCAATCGACTTTTGTACAAAGTCTCCCTCTGGTACAAAGTATCACTAGGTCCCCCTCTCAACATAAGTATTATTTATAATTAATCCTCTCCATCCAAAAGTTGTTTTCTCATTGTGATTATTTCTTGTAATTGTTTATATTTATAATAAGTTTCTTGTTTGTATATATAATCTTTTGGAGGAAACAATAAAGAGTATCTATCTATCTATTGTTCTGACGCAGATATGCAGCTTGCTGCGCGGTGGCATCGCGGAGCGCGGCGGTGTTCGTGTGGGGCACCGCATCATCGAGATCAACTCGCAGAGCGTGGTCGCCGTGCCGCACGAGCGCATCGTCAACCTGCTCGCCACCTCCGTCGGCGAGGTGCGCACCTACACACTCGCGCATACGCGACGTATACGCACGCACACATCCTCATGTATACGCACACACACGCTCGCAGTTACACACATACATCCTTGAATATAATACATTACGCAATAGCGTCATAGAGCCGCTTCAGTTGTCGATAATCTACGACACAACACGTACACCTTTTATCGATATTTCTTCTACGTTTGAAATATCAAGATTAATTTGAAAGTATTGATACTTTTCAATTAGCTCGCTCCCACATTATTTTTTTTAATGGGTGAGTATGGAACGGTACCCCGCCTGCGCTATCGGTATACACTGGTGGGATACCAGTGTGGGATGATGGATGTGGATGAAAATAGCCAAAGTCAGTTAGCCCATCGTGACGTATTCAACAATAATTAATTATGACAGTTTCCAAGCGGAAGGGCGTGGAGATCGACCTGATAAAGTATATTGCTAGCAATGGGGATGTTAGACCCTATTACTAACAATTTCTTTCTCCCCTCGCTGCCATACTATTTTTTTTTTATTTGTAATAATGAAATGGTAACCCCGCCTGCGCTATCGGTAAACGCTGGCGGGGCACCAGTGAGGGATGGATGATAGGTGATGAAAGCAGATCAGTTAGCCTATTTCACTAGAATTAACCACGATGGTTTCCAGGAGGAAGCGCGTGGAATTCGACCTAATGTCGACCTCCACGCACACGATGAAGGTGTATTGCCGGCAATGGGTCGGCTAGACTCCATTACTAACAATCCCTTTCCCCCCAAACGCTCCCGCACAATACAATAGTATTACGATGGCTCTAGTATTTACAACATTTTCAGATTCTAATGAAGACGATGCCGACGTCCATGTTCCGGCTACTGACGGGACAAGAGAATCCGGTGTTTATCTAAGCGCGCGCCGCCGCCGCGACATCAAGTGCCTGCTTATATTATGCCGACGCTCGCCAAACGCCCCCGCCCCACCCTGCCGCCGCCACCGCCGTCCGTCACAGCACGAGCGAATAGTCACATTCATCCTCCTTCATCCTCACTGTAAAAAACATTTTAGTTGAGTATGGCTGTATAGAAATATTTCTTGACATTTTGTAGAAACTAGAAAGTTTCTTCACTGGTCAAGGTATTGCATATACAGCCCTTTATATATATATTTTTTTTTATTTTTCTTTTATATGTTAAAAAGAAGTTGATTATGAGAATAAGTTGTGCGGTAGATGTATCGTTAAATGATTTTAAAAACTAGTAAATACCATAGCTATAGTACTGGACTAATTTTATATTTATTATTTTCTAAAATTTCATGTAATATTTTTTTTTATAAAATATTATTTGACATCAAGTATCTAATTCCTGTAGAAAATGCAAGTGAGGATGATATCCAACTAGCTTCTGAGATATACTCAAACAACTACATAGTAATGTGACATCAGATTTCAGAACGCTTACAATGCTTACGTGGCTAAATAAGGTAGAATATAAGTTGTATTATCTCTTTCTACTGATTTGTATTTGCTACATCGATGTTTGTGGTAGTTTTCATGGATGGATATTATTAAAAAATAAAAAATCTACATTTAGTTTGTCTATGGTAGCAAGTACAAAACAGAGATGAACTCTTTTAGTGACATGACAACGTGTATACATACTCCATTAATGAATGTACGTATTAATATTGAAATCTCACTCATATCTGCTTAGATAGTATCGTAATATATATTATTACAGTATCTACTAATTATTTTAATAATTTTGTTTAGAGTATAATAATTTTTTAAGTCGCCATTTTGAAATATTTCCCTCCATTTGTGAGCGGATTAAAGCTTTTTTTTTAATTCGTTTAAAAATTTACTTCTGGCCATAATTTTTTTTTTATTCATATTTTGTACTCGTGATATAGGTAACAAGTTTCACAATTTTTAAAGACAATACTTAAAGCATTTATTTGGTGTGTATCTAATTCGATTATATTGTTGTGGAGGTTAATGATAATATGTAAATTGTTGCCAGTCATATTTAAGCCATTATAAGACGCTGTTTTGGCCCGGAAATATTTCATAAATATGATCTGATAGTCATATCTATTTTGATAAAGGTGTTTTCTTTTTAATTATAATATATAGTGATATTTTTCTTGTCAAATCATTCCATATATTTATTTGTATATTCAGATTATATATACCTTGTTTTATATATTAGCCAGTTTATTTTTATTTTTAAATTGTCGCGATAATTTATTTCTACATTTATATTCCGTTATTCCATTAACCGTGCACCATAGTTCAAACCAATTCATTTAGCTCGAGGAGTTATCTCTTGAATTAACTCTCCAACCCAACATTTGAATTTAGATCAACCGTTGCAAATAAATTAATCTATAATATTCTAAATGTACCATTATCAAATTCCCAAATTTTTATGCTGAGTTGTAGAGTATAATCAAGCACTCCGTATTTAAAATGTATAATAGCTTAGATAGAGTAACGAGTGGATCCTTTCGGTTAGGGTTCTAGTCTGTAAAAGACTCCTTTGTCTATCAAACTCGAGCCAATGGATCTACAGTGATCAAATAAAAAAATGAATTGATTAGTGGATATAGTACATATTGAACAAAACATTATTTCGTGTAGCATTTCAAAAGATATATCATATTTTGTAAATTTTATAGTGTCGCTAAACTATGTAACCTATACTGTATATGTACGTTTTATCCTGTGTTCTTAGCTAGGCTTAGCGCTCTGAGGACGAGTTATATATTTATTTATGTATAAAGAATAATAATTTGTAACACGTTAGAGTACTCGAATAAAATCGCTTCTCCTACTATCCAACAATATCTTTATCGCTTAAATTCTTAATCTACTTGTCAGTGTTTTATATATTATTTTAATTATTTTCCCCCTAGTCGATGTCCCTTCCTCTTTTATTTACTTGTTTTCAGTCGTATACCTACAGCTAATAATTATATAGCAAATAAGGAAGACTATATTAAAAAAAAAATTACTCACTGCCTACCGCAATATCGCGTAATGACCATTTACAAAACGTAATAACATGTTATCATTGGAAAATATCCATTGTCATAATAGTTACTTCGTTCTACTTCTGTTGTAAAGGCCTGCCTATAGAATGGACGTTTTGTTTGTAGATATAATTTCTATTTTGCTACCTATCCTAAAGAGAGATACGCGTGTGGTATAATTTAAAAGTAACAAAAAATCTCTTTTTCTTAACCATCTACTTGTATTACACACACGTTGTAGTTTACGATCTTAGGTGTTTAATTATGACCAAACTAAAATTTACACTGAGAAAGGAAAATTTGAATCCGCCAACAAAAAGTCCCATGTCTGTGCCGGCCATTAGAAATACTAGTTATAAGATAGTATTGACTCGCATCCATGTCTCTGTTAGACAAAATTTCAACAATTCCCGACTAATTTCAATATTGTAATCGGACATCGGCACTATTAGACTTCTTCAACTACATAAATATAGATATCTATACAGTCTGACGTAAATTTTATATTGCTAGCTGTTGTGAATAAGAATTTATTTACATCGTGGAACACAGATAATAAATAGCCTTTTATTATGAATGCTGGTATATGGTAGGTACACTGTAACATGTGAAATAACTATTGTTGTTCTCATTTCTAAGAGTATTATTCTAGTCTGCATTAAAGTTAAGAATAAACTGAAAAAACTGAATAATTTTGTTTTATTTGTACTATTTAGATCTCTGATTTAAAATCAGAAGCTATATATATTATATTTTTTATTGTTGAAGAGATTTTTTTGTTTTAATCTAAAATTGATAATATATACCTACCAAGGGAAAGAGATTTCAGTTTTTATTACAAATTACTGGTTTTTATAGATGAAAGTTGGATGATATCGAAAACTGGATTGGAGAATTATAACCAAGAATGACGTCAATTTTCTCATTATAATGTATTCATCAGAATTTCACCACAATGGTTTTTAAAAGGAAGCTAAGAATTTATATTCTACAATCTTTGGAAGGAATGTAAAGGACGACCTGATGAGTGTTTGTCACATCTATTTTGATAAAAATCGCAAGTTTATAGTGGAAATAGTTCATACCAAAATTTGCTTACAATTGAACTTAGCACTTGAAAATATCATAATTTATATATCTTAAAAACTTATAGGAACCTTAGATTAATGATACTTAATAAAGATATAATAAATAGGTGTTTGTTGTGCTTATACTGCTCTACAAATACCAATTAATGTTTGTTAAAAAATCAAATATAACACTCACTAATAGTGGGGTCGATTCTGAGGTATTATCATTTCTCTAACCAATCTTTAAAATTAAAATGTCAGTTTAATGTAACAGCCAAAATCTATATTTTGAGAACCAATACAAACTAAATTTTTAATAGATTTAAATAAAAATTATTACAAATTTATGTTTAATGTTTCACAAAATAGTAATTTTCATTTTTATTTTATTTTGAATTATATTATGAAATTGAAATATTAGGTTAAAAGATAGAGAAATGGCGCCTTAGAATCGACTCCAGTGACATTTAAAAATAATAGTATTACTTTGCACGATTGCTCCCTAATCGCTAGATGGATTAGATGCACTGTTTCTATGACAAACGGTGGCATTGCGATCAAGTTGCAATAAATAAAACTAATATAATAGTTATTTTACTTTCAGAAATGCTGTGAAGAGACAGTAATAACAATGGGTGGCTAATTGGTAAATCGTTTTTAGGCACTACAAAAATGTGACAGCAATATTGCGAAGGTAATCAGGAGGTCGTTTACGTTACGTATGTCTACAAAAACTTCTAGTTACTTACTATATAATTGGCGGGAACTTTTTGCCTAGATATATTAACTTAGCTTTATACTTACCTAGTTAGCTAGTACCATTGACCTACATAAAACCATGTTTATCTTTAAATGAGATTTCACGGTAAGTAGATACAATTGAAGGTAAAATATGAAAGTAGATACTTAGTCCATTTTAAATGAAATAATTTTAACTGATTAATGACTAAATATTCTCTTAGAAATTAAAATTAGCATATTTTTTAAGTAATGATAGATATATTTTCTTTAAGTTTTTATATAAATTGGTGCAATAGTTATTGCGTGATGCTGGAACAAATATACAGACAGACAGAAAGACAAATGCTCGAATTCCAATTATTTGACTTATTAATTTGAATGCTCTATTTTAGTCTCGATTTAAAACAATTGAAGCCCGAGTTTAAGTCGCAGCTCACCTTGAGGCACACGCCGATGCACGTAGCGAGTCAACGCAACAGCGCGCACCTACGTGACCCAGTTTTTTATAAAACTGCGATGGTCGTGGATCATCAAATTATATACCTAAGTACTTTGACACCAAAGTGTCGTTTTTGTATGAGAGGGTCATTTCTAGGGCAGGGGCAAATCGGGCTGTTAAAAAATGCGACAAATATTTTTCCAGAGAACAACAAAATTGCTGGATCGAGCCATTGCACTGCTAGAAGGTTGCTGTTTTATTTTTAATTTTTTAATATAAGTTGATGTCTTACCTGATGGAAAGTGGTAACCGAATGAATGTTAATTTTTTATTTTATCTTTTTGGTAGATATAAATAATAATGAAGGACATTTCATTTACTCGGATGACAATTATTTATTTTTGTCATACCTATATTATGTACAAAATGACTATAGTATTTTAATAAATTTTTTATACCAGTATTTTGGTGAAACATGTAGCTCGAAGTATACACAACTGAACATCTAATGTATGGTTACATTTTAATACAATTTTTTTATGCAACTTAGAATGGTAAACAAGCTGATGTCCCACCTGATGGAAAGTGGTAACCGTCGCCTATAGACATGTCTATGGTATTAGACATAACCGATAACAGATACTGCTCATGCGCTGCCATTCCTCAGGACTCAGGTGTTATTCCTCTGTACCCTGTAAATTCACTGCCATATCCCATCCTTCAAACCGAAACACAACTTCACGCTAGAAACACGAATGGGACAGAATCTGAATCTGAAAACCGTCATCTATAGACATGAGCAGTACCATGGATATCACAGAGACTGACTACCAGGGTACATTATGCGTCGTCTTTTCTGAAAACTAAGGTAAAATGCCTCTGTACCCTGATAATATGCATTAAATGTAATTTGCATTAACCAATGCAAAGATAAACGAGGTAAAGGCCAGCCTGAGGTTTGTGACATTGATTTTATAATAGTGCTACACTTCAATTAGTACTATTACAAAGGGGGGAAAGGGATTGTTAGTAATGGAGACTGAGAATCCTATTGCTAGCAATATACCGAACCAGGTCGACCTCCTCGCGGTTCCCCCTGAAAACTATCATGGTTAATTCCTGATGAATTCATCATGATGAGCCAACTGGCCTGTTTTCATTCTCATCTATCACCCTTCACTGATGCTCCGCCAGCGTATCCCATTAACGCAGGCGTGGTATTTTCACCATTTTCACTCATCAAAAAAAAAAAAGTACTATTACAAATACTCAAGCATGAGATGGGATTCTTTTAATGGATGATATTGGAATGGTAACCCCACCTATGCTAACAATATATACTGGCGAGGCCCCAGGTGACGATGAAAAACCGGATGGAACTCAGCACGATGGTTGCTATGGGGTCATGTGCAGTTCGACCTGACAGAGTATACTGCTAGCAATGGGATTTTTTTATAGGTGAAAATGGTATTCTCAATCTACATTACTTACAATCCCTTTCCCCCCCCGCTAGTAATGGGATTAGAAATCCGCATTACTAATAATCCCTTCCCCCGACGATGGGATTGTTGGTATTGGGGATCAGTAATCTCATTGCTAATGATCAACTGGAAATTATCATGTTTAATTCCAGGTGAATTTGTCATAATGTGCCATTTGACCCGATTTCATCCGTCCTATTTCATTCACTGGTACCCCACTAGCACATATATATATACATAGTGTTACTATTTCATTTTAGCAATGAGCAATAAATTTAGAAGACCAGTGATAGTAAAGAAAGGTTTTCGAGGGGTGACACCATACAAGCAAAAACAAAGTAGAATAATTCCCCTACTAGATGGAGTGATAACCTCAAATATATTAAAGGATGTATCTGGATGAAGGTGGTTCAGAACTGTTTCTAATGGTGGTGAAAATAATAATTTATTTTAATGAAATAGGTGATGTAGAAATCCATCACTGGATATTTAATTAGAAATATTTGGTTTAATTCCGCTACCATTAATAAAATAATACTAAGCAAGTGACCAACAATAATTTATACCTGGAGTTAAATAGTAAAGTACCTAAGGGTTTATTGATTGGAAACAAATGTAATCTCTAATTTTTAGTCTTTAGGAGTGGCAACAGTGCTTATTGCATTAATATTAGTATAGAGGGGCAGTAATCATTTCCATCAACTGACTTTACATCACCAATTTAACAATTAGCTCCTTGTCCACTACTTTATAAATATGGAATTCAGGAGGTATACCAATGAAATAGATTACATTCAATTGGCATATTAAAATAAAAACATATATAAGATTTTATATTACACTTTCAGGATCATAACTGTGAAAACTGCATCCAATTTGGTAGTTTTTGCATGACGCCGGAACAAACATACAAACAGATATAATTTCTAAAAAATATTGTTTCATCATCTGTGGGTTTTACTAAAACTCATCTCTCATATACAAAAATTTTATGATTTAAGACATGAACACACACAAACCAAAGACATATTCATAGTGAATGTTGCCAATTATGAGGTTGTAATTGCTATAGTTTATATATCA